GGAGAACCGCTGCTTATAAAATAGCTCGAGGAGCATGAACTCATGGAATTTGTGTAATCTTTACACAAGGGAATAAGAAACAATAATAGCAAATGTCACATACTATTTATTTATTTGGATTCAGTCTTTGTGTTTCTAATTTATAATCCAAATTGTACCTTATCATATTCCTGATTGTTTGTGATTATTATATAGTCGCGGAGATAAATAAAGTAAGGACAAATTTGGGAATAATTAATTTATTATAAAGGTGGATATTTACCCTTTAGTTCTCCATCCAATAAAATTATATACAAAAGGTATTTATAGGGAGAACAACTTATCCCAAGGTAAAAATAACAAGAGTGGTCAGCCACCCTCCCGTTTTCCTTATTTGCCGATAAGATTTCGAGAACCCCTCACATCTGTCCCCCCGGAGTCCAGTGATGATTGACAGGTGTTCCATGGAGCTTCCTGTGGTTGTAGAGCTACTTGACAATATTATGTTATGTTCAAGGTGAAGTGTTCAGATAAATTCTGTAAAAGTAAGAATTACATATTCTGATAAGGCACAATCAGTACTTTTGTCTGAATATGGTAACAACACTGTTACCGAAACGTCACACTATTTATTTATTTGTTTTTGGTCTTATTACCTTGTTGTAATTACATATTCTGTTGTCGTGCTGAGAACCTGTTTTTTAACATTAGTTCAAGAACTCTTTTACTTTCACAAGGAATTTATTAAAGATCTAAGAAAAAACATGCCTACAAATCTTAGACTCATCATGTGTCTCTAACCTCAGATTATACTCAACTAACTGAGCTAACTATATACACATGAAGTATGCCTGAGTCATCGTCATAGAATATACAATTCTCAAAACTCCTCGTTTATCATCACTTTGGACAAAATCCAATCAAATACGATCAATCGCATAGTAGTCAAATTTATAACCTGAAACAGTATAAATGTTAAAGAAGAAAAAAAAAGAGACAAAAAGAAAGAGAAGATTTGGAAAGTAAAAAAGAGAGAGAGAGAAGGGTAGAACCTGTTGGGATCCAGCTTCTGTACATATTGTCAAAATATATATTATATTCGGCAACATTGTAATTGCTATATTTAGAACTCTTGTTTGTTTTTGCATATGTAGTTTTGTAGATATAGAGAGAGTTTGCTGCTAATCGGTATGTAAGGTTTTTGTTTTAAATTTCTATTAATGTTTTTTTTTTTTTTTGCTTATCCCTAGTACACGTGGTACAGGCCATGATAATCATGGTGGGTAGTTAGCGACTGCTTTTACTGTAAGTGCACCACATGTCTACACATGTGAAAAGCAGTTCGACTTTGCACTTACTAATGCCAGAGCCCCGTTTGGTTACTTGCACTCGCTGGTGGGGTTGGACTTTTGCAAGAATCGGGGGCCATTGGAGCATTTTTTTTTTTTCTTTAAACAGAAAAAAGTGTCCAATGCGGGTTCGAACCCGGGTCCTAGTGTCTATTAATGTAAAATAGGTTAATATGTAAAGTTTTCCATTCTGTTAAAAAATAAATTTATTAATCGAAGATGTCTTGATTTTGAACGTAGTCAAGTAAGAATATACCCTAACATCGATCTACAGAATAATATTTTGATACTAGATAAATATTTAAAATACCATCAGAACCCACATAAAGTATGCAAAACTTTTTCTTACAATAATTAAATTTACATACATAGTAGAACCTCCCTGTAAAGGACACCTAATTGCAGAGCTAAAGTATCTTTTCGGGAGAGGTGTCTTCTTACTGGAGAGTTGCTAAATTGTAAAAATGGTAATTTTACAAATGAAAACTTTCCTTTGTGGAGAGGTGTCCGCTAAAGGGAGGTTCTACTGTATTCCATTCATTAACTTTTCTTAAATAATATATGTCATAATTTGTATATAATTGTATGCTCCCCGACCCACTATGCATGTACAAATGTATGATTTTCAAAGATTTAATAAAAGAATAAGGTAACTGGAGGAAAGAAAGTAACAAAAGACATAGGAAATAGGCCTAAAGCTGGCACGACTATTCTGGGCACCCCTGTGTCAATATTGCAGGGGCAGAGACCGGACGTCTCTAGTGACCGCAGAAGTTATATTAGTCGCGAAGCACTCAATACTTCCTGACAAAGCAGGACGTATCTGGTATCCACAGGAGTTATATTAGTATAGAGACACCCCATACTTCCGACCCAAGACCGGACGTATTTTGATAACGCGGAAGTAAATAAAATCGAAATAGCAACCGACACTTCCTATCAGGCAGGCCATATCTTTCACCAAAGAGAACCGCGGGCCAATCAGAAGACAGCACCTTAAGTAGGTCAACCAATAGGAAAAGATCATGTGACATCTCTCGACCAATCAGAGAGAAACTGAGTCTTGGTGTTAAATCGAAAAAGCAAGAATAGTCAGTTGCTCCTTCGCTTCCAACAAGGTAACATCTACTCTAGAGATCTCTCTCTCTCCGCTCATTTCATCTAAATCCAATCATCGCCATGTGATCAACTAATTAATAAGTCAAATCGCTCAGCTCTTCTCAAGCTTTCTTCCCTCCAACCCAGTTGCCTTTTATTTTCAAACCCAATCACGTGTCCTGATTATTCCTAACTGTATGCTTAAACTTCCACTCAAACGACTGCGTTTCAACCAATCCTCACCATTCAAATCGAACAACAAGAAACCCCGCAACGATATTATCACATATATTTACATATTTCCTTTTAACTTTAATAAGTATAATCATATACAACATATTCCTTTTATCTTCAGGTATATAACTCTAGATTTAGAGGTCAACCAAATTGGCCTGTTCAAACATTATTTTACAAGGGGCTGAATCCTGACAAAAATGAAATAAGCAAAATGTTATAGAAATACCACATCAAATCATGGGCTGAAATATACAAATCCTATTGGTATGAGAGTTGTATTCACTTTTTAAAATTTGTTTGTTGGATTTTTTGTTTATCAGGATTTTGGAATATCAGAATTTTGCGCCTGTTGGATTTTGGCCTGTTGAGATTATGTCTGGAACCCATTTTATAAAATAAAAAATATTTAGTACAGTAGAACCTCCACGAGAGGATAATCGCGCTAGAGGACACCTCTCTATAAAGGACAGTTTTCATTTGCAAAATTACTATTTAGCAATTCTCCATTAAGAGCACACCTCTTTAGCTCTGCAATCAGGTGTCCTTTACAGGGAGGTTCTACTGTACTCAAAATACAGTAGAACCTCCCTTTAGCGGACACCCCAATAGCGAACACCTCTCTACAAAGGACAGTTTTCATTTGCAAAATTACCATTTTTACTATTTAGTAACTCTCCGGTAAGAGGACACTTCTACTAAAGGACACTTTGGCTCTGAAATTAGGTGTCCTTTACAGGGAGGTTCTACTGTATCTCCAATAATGTGACCTATAAATTGGAAGGTTTTACAGTCGGCTGAGTGTTATGTGTGACGACAGACTGGGCAAGTCCTGGCTGGCTCTGGGCCACTTGCTGGAGTCTGTGATCCCCACCATGAGCACCACCTGCCAGCTCTGGTTCACCACCTCCACCATGATCTACTACCTCGATGGGATCTTTTGCCGGCTTCGCACTTGGCTGCCTCTGCTCAGAGATCCTCCTGGACAACCCTCAGTAAGTTCTGTGTGTCTCAATTGCCATGGAGTCTCACTTATAACACCAACTTGGTCATAGCAGAGATAATTATACAGCCACAATTGTTTCAACTGTAGCAACATGATAAGGCACAATTTGGATTATCTATTTATATAAAAATGAATGTATGTGTGTCTGTCCTTTATGCCTGACCAAACTACTCATTGGAACGCCATGAAACTTTGGGAAGTTATTTAGTATAGTACTGGGAAGGTTTCTAGCAACTAAAATTTTTGAAATAACTTTTCACCTAAAAATAATCAAGATAAATATTCTAATTTATCTGTTATAATTCAACAATCTGCTCTAAATATTATCATGATGATACGATGATTTTGTAATGTAGAAAATTAGGAAAGACAAAATTCAGGATGACACGGCAATTTATTTGAGACAAGAATAATGATACAATTCCAAGGCAAGATACTATTCCTTTAACTTCCAATTACTGAGGGAACCAATTAATATTCATTTTATTCAACTTTTCGAGTATTTTTCAAGGGACCGGGAAAAAATGTTCACTTTATCGAGAGATTCATTAGACAAACCTTTACTAGGGTAAAACCCGGGCGAAGCCGGGTACATCCGCTAGTAGATTATAAACACAAGGTAATAAGACCAAATCCAAATAAATAAATAGTGTGTGACATTTCAGCGTTGTTACCATCTTCATGGTAAGATGGAGATGGTAACAACGCTGTTACTGAAACATCACACACTATTTACTTATTTATTTGGATTTGGTCTTATTACCTTGTGTTTGTAGCAAGATGAATGATGTAACCATGAGTTTAACTGTAGGTGGTATCTCACCGGAGTTCTTAACTCCAATTCTCTTAAGAAAGAAAAAATGGCATATCCTTATCACGCAACTGAAAGTTACTGATGACTTGCACCATCTATCGGAATAAATATCTGGTGCAAGCTATCAGCAACTTTCAGTTGCACAATAAGGAGATGCCATTTTTCCTTTCCTTAATTTATGAACCTTATCCCAGTACAACATTTGTACTATTTTTTTCCAATTATCTTGTTGAGACTGTTTTCCAATTGTAAAACACTCACTAGCTTTAAAATATAACATCCCTGAACTTGACAACATGAAACATGTGAAAATCAGTTAGACTTTGCACTTACAAATGTGCCAGAGCCCTTTTTGGTTACTTGCACTTGCTGGTGGGGTTGGACTTTTAAAATAATCGGAGGCCATTGGAATTTTTTTTTTTTTATCAGAAAAAAAGTGCCCAATACAGGAATCGAACCCTGGTCATAGCAGTTGAAAACCAATGGTTTAGAACATCTTTCCACTGACCCCCAAAAAAAGTGCTGTGACCAGGATTTGAACCTAGGTTATTGCAGCCACAACGCAATGTCCTAGCCACTTGATGATCATGGCAGGTTCTACTGTATTGACATTTTACACAGGAAGGGAGGGCAAACTAAGATATAGATACAACCGGTGAAAAACCTGCTCCCCTAAGACTACCATATAATAACCAGGAGCTGGTGTCCAGCAGCAGCTGCCCCCAATCCCTGAGTCCCTGCTAACTTGGATGGAAGTTCACTTTGGGGAGGAAACCAATCCCTTGAGGAGTGAGCCGTGAGTCTATTCATTTCCTTTCACCTTGTCTATTCACTATCTCTATATACAGTGGAACATACTCCATGTGAGGACACCTCTCTATAAAGGACAGTTTTCATTTGCAAAATTACCATCTTTACTATTTAGCAACTCTCCGCTAAGAGGACATCTCTCCCTAAAGGACACTTTGGTTCTGAAATTAGGTGTCCTTTACAGGGAGGTTCTACCGTATACTCTGATGGATGCATTTTAAATAGATAGTGTTTGTTCTTATTATGTAAATCTAGTTCCAATTTTTATTTTTATATAAATTTTTCCAATAGTTTAGTTAGATATAAACACAAGGTAATAAGACCAAATCCAAATAAATAGTGTGTGAAGTTTCGGTAACAGCATTGTTACCATCTTCAAACAAAAGTACTGAATGACTTACATTCATTTACATTAAACTCATTCAGTACTTTTGTCTGAAGATGGTAATAACGCTGTTACTGAAACATCACACACTATTTATTTATTTGGATTTGGTCTTATTACCTTGAGCTCTAATCCAAGGATAATATTCAGCTGGTCTGGCCTATCTAGATACAGTCCACCAAACCAAAACATAAATTACTAACCAGGCTTATAGACAAAGAAGTGGACTCCTACCTATCGCTTCTAAGTCACCCAGATAGAATACAGTAAAACTTGTCTTGAGAGTTTCCATTTGGTTCCAAGCACTCATACGACAGGTTGAATAAAATTATTTACAATGAACCTTAAATGATAAGGCACACAATTTGGATTATTAAAATATACAAGTATCAGAGTCATCAATCAATTCTTAATTCTGTCACCGTTTGCTTTTGTGAATGGAATAAATACCTAAATATGGCCATTTCTCATAAGCATCGATGGTTCAGTGGTAAAATGCTCGCCTGCCACGTGGGCGGCCCAGGTTCAATTCCCTGCCGATGCATTTTTTTTTTTTTTACAATTTTTAAAACTCACTTATATATTACACAAGAATGACATCCACGGCGCCAATTTATAATTGTAACGAATAGTATTTGACTAAAAGCATTTAATCGGGTAAAACCCGGGCGTTGCCCGGGTCATTCGGCTAGTAGATTATAAACACAAGGTAATAAGACCAAATCCAAATAAATAGTGTGTGACATTTAGGTAACAGTATTGTTACCATCTTCAGACAAAAGTGCTGAATGAGAAAAATATCACAGCATGTTTTAAATCATCTTATCTGCCATCTTTTTTTACACACTTGATAACAGCAACTATCTAAAACATGCTGTGGTGGAATTTTTCATTCAGTGCTTTTGTCTGAAAATGGTAACAACGCTGAAACATCACACACTATTTATTTATCTGGATTTGATCTTATTACCTTGTGTTTAATAAACCTTTAATGATTATTTATTATTTAAACTCAATGAAATGCTCATACTGTGAGATATTCAACACATTTAGCATTCGGGGGTTTAGATAACTCAGAAGTGAATATGTTTGACAGACTTAGAAGCCAAAAAAACTAAATTATTGAAAACACAAGGTAATAAGACCAAATCCAAATAAATAGTGTGTGATGTTTCAGCGTTGTTACCATCTTCAGACAAAAGCACTGAATGAAAAATTCCACCACAGCATGTTTTAAATAGTTACTGTTATTAAAGTGTGTAAAAAAAAGATGGCAGATAAGAAGAAGATTTAAAACATGCTGTGGTATTTTTTCTCATTCAGTACTTTTGTCTGAAGATGGTAACAAATCTGTTACCGAAATGTCATACACTATTTATTTAGATTTGGTCTTATTACCTTGTCTTTATAATCTATAATCCAAATTGTGCCTTATCATAAATTATTGACAAATAAAGTGAAGGTGCAACTGAGAACCACTTATGGTCAGCTTCATTCTCGGGTTCCTTGTTTCATGAAGCTGTCAATTCAGACCCATTTTTGATTCATTTGATTTTTCATATTCATAAGCTTTCCTCTGACATACCTTTGAACTTTGCCTATCATTAAACACAAATTAATAATACCAAATCCAAATAAATAAATAGTGTGTGACATTTCAGTAACAGCGTTGTTACCATCTTTAGACAAATGTACTGAATGTCTTCTTCTTTCTTATCTCCACTTGATCATATTAGGGTATCAAGTTGTGACCCTTGATGGTGTCTGCTTGACAACCATCATGACTGGGTGAAGTAGAATGTCTTTGTCATTAAGACTGGGAGTACTACTCAGTGGCAGGCCAACGTACTGAATGTAATAAGACCCAATCCAAATAAATAAATAGTGTGTGACATTTTGGTAATAGCATTGTTACCATCTTCAGACAAAAGTACTGAATCTAATAAGACCAAATAAATAATTAAATAGTGTGTGATGTTTCAGTGTTGTTGCCATTTTCATTCAATACTTTTGTCTGAAGATGGTAACAACGCTGTTACCGAAACGTCACACACTATTTATTTAATTGGATTTGGTCTTATTACCTTTTGTTTATAATCAATAATCCAAATTGTGCCTTATCATTTGCCTATCATTGAAACAAGGATTGTGCTGCAGACTGAGTAGGTTAGTGTCCCAAGAAGAAGCTGAGTCCAAATCCCATGTGCTGGCAGAAGCTGATGAAGAAGATTTCGGAGGTAAGTACACACACAATCCATTCTCAGTGAGTTGGGAACATGTTCCTTAGTTGGTCTGATTGTATCAGAGTAATTTATCTTGTTCTAACTGAATACAAAGTAATAAGACCAAATCCAAATAAATAAATAGTGTGTGACGTGTCGGTAACAGCGTTGTTACCATCTTCAGACAAAAGTACTGAATGAGAAAATTTACCACAGCAGGGTCTTATTACCTTATGTTTATAATATATAATCCAAATTGTGCCTTATCATTGTTCTAACTGCTTAAATAGCATCAGTGTCACCTGGTATTCCTCAGTCAATCACCTGATAAATGATAGAGCCTTTATTTCCTAGGACCATCAATCAATAAAAATGTTATGATGCATTAGCCTGCCATCTGTTATGAAAATTCAAAACTATTATACAGTTAAACCTGTCGCCCCCTCTTGGAACTCACCAAAATATGTGCTATAGAGAGGGTGGTATAGACAGGTCACTTTTAATGTAAAATCACAAGGTAATAAGACCAAATCCAAATAAATAAATAGTGTGTGACGTTTCGGTAACAGCATTGTTACCATCTTCAGACAAAAGTACTGAATGAGAGAATTTATTACAGCATGCTTTTAAATAGTTCCTGTTATCAAGTGTGTAAACAAGATAACAGATAAGAAGAAGATATTTATCTGATAAACAGATGAGATAAACACATGATGATTATTATTCTTAGAATTAAGTTTTTTTCAAATATCATTAAAAGCATATCTATGAATATCATTTACATTTTCTCTTTCTTCCATTCTGTTAATTGTAGCACATTTCTTTTGAATGAAAAATGCTTCTTTAAATTGTCTCTTAAAATAATTTTTCTCATAATCTAGTATCCTTGTTTCTTTTAAGTTAAAATTATTATGTCCTGTGATTTTTCTATGTTCTTCTTCTTCTTCTTTCTTATCTCCACTCAATCATATTAGGGTATCAAGTTGTGACCCTTGATGGTGTCTGTTTGACAACCATTATGACTGAGTGAAGTAGAATGCGTCTGCCTTTGTCATTAAGACTGGGCGCACTACTCAGTAGCAGGCCCACCTAGCTCCAAAAGAAATGGCCGTCTCTGACATGAGGAACAGACCCCATGTGCAGCCACTCCTAACATGGAGTACAAATGCTACTCATCCTGTATCCCTGGATTAGGAGCCCTTACAGGGTACTATCAGCCGGGCCAGCTGAGCCCAGGTTTTTTAGTGAGCTTGTTACTGCTCCCCCTCCTCCTTTTTCATCCAGGCTTGGGACCGGCAAAGGCGGAGTTTCTATGTTCTACAAGTGCAGAATTCTCAATTTTATCCCATTTCAGAGCATATTCATGGTTTTTCATTCTTTCTTTTAAAGTTCTGGATGTTTTTCCTACATAACATTGGTCACATTTTTCACATTTCACTTCATAAATTAAACCTGCTCTATTTGGTATGTGAGTGTTCTTATGGTTGTTGATATATTGAGAGATAGGGTTACATGGTTTCCATGCAATGTTTATTTTTTCATACTTTTTGAATATATTAGTAAAATTTCTTGCAAACTTTTGGTTTATAAATGGCAATGTGATAAATTTGGCTTCTTTGTTTTTGCACTTTAGATTTTGAATTAAAGTATTATTCTTATATTTTTGGTTCATGTCTTCTATTATTGTATCTATCAATTTGATGGGAAAATATTCATTGATTAGTTCTTTTTTGATGTTGTTAATTTCTATATTTCTTTTAGTTGTATCATTAATGAGTGTAAAAGCTCTATATATAAGAGCTTTTATTAATCCTACTTTTTGGCTGAAATGGTGCTGTGAGCTATAGTTCCAATAAGTTCCTGTATGTGTTGGTTTTTTGTATATAGAGGTTGTAATATTGTTATTACTGTATGATAAGTTCATGTCCAGGAAATTTATTGATTTGTTGTTATCTACTTCCATAGAGTAATTGATATCAGGCAATAGATTGTTGAAAGAATCCAACATTTTTTGTTCACTTCCCTGATTAATAAATAAAATGGAGTCATCCACATATCTTTTAAAATAATAAACATCATTTTTAAGTGAATTTAGAGCTCTTATTTCTAATTGGCCTATAGTAATACAAGCTGCGTTTGGTGATATTGGACTACACATTGTTGCACCTTTCATTT